AAGTGGACAATTTTTGAAATAATACATAACAAGTAAGCAAAGGCTATATTCGTGCGGGGCCGATCATTTGATACCCTACAACACTACAATATGTTAGAAGCACCCTTATGTCCAATTCCATTTTGGAAGATTTCGCTTTTGAAATGTTGTCATGGAGCACTGCCCAGATATTGCCCTTAGCATTTTGACCAGGGACATTTGTGCACTCCGTCGTGCTGTTAGTTGTTGTGGTCCATTTTACAGCTAAATATAACCCAAAGGTCATCCAAAAAGCTAGAATTCTTCCCTATCCTTAACTCTCCTCTCAGGCATGTCGATTGGCATCAATTGTGTGATCAGGAATTTTTTTCTGTTTTTGGTTCTCCAAAAGCAAGACCCATATATATGATTTGCTTGACTACGATATTTGGCTATATTCATCAACGAAATTTCGGATATAGCCTTTAATTAATGTTTATATTTTTTCCTACGAAAGTAGTTGTCCATTCTACCCGCTGTCCTAAACTCTAACTACATGCGAGATTTAATGTCCTTTGGTTTATATTTTCGAACTTATAACGGCTGCGAAATCAGGAACATTTTTAGTGGTTGATCAATTTTAACCCCTAAATATATTGTGGTCATCTTTGAAAACAATAGCTCTTCTGAGCCTAACCCTACCCTTGTGAAGATCGGACGATATTTGCAATGTTTATATAATATCCCCAACCCGTGTTGTAAGGTGAAAAAATTTTACAAAATGTACACTTCAATATTATAAGTCAAATTGAAAAAATATGAAAATATAAAAAATGTCACAAATTACTACAAAATCTAAATTAACATCATTATTGGCATCTTTTTATGCGTTTTTTTTTTTAGATTTTATACTTTTGTGTCAAGAGGGCATTCTGAATTGACAAAATTTGTCAAAATCGGTCCAGCCATTCTTGAGATATAAGCATTCTAACTAATATCCCCTTCCTTTGTATATAAAAATTCTATATATTTCGCTATATATAACCGATATATTTACTATCGGCATCTACGTAACGGTCAGAATTGACCTGTTCGTCTATTTGTGATTTCGCGGGGATTAAAAATATTCGCGGTTTAAAAAAATTTGACTTTTATTTAATACAAATGTTGTAGCCGTTTTCACCCACTAAATATTACCCGATGACCATCAAAATTGGAAGGCTTCTGCTCAGCCCTAAGCTCTAGCCCCAAGCTAACTTCCGCTTTGATTGGTCTATAATTGCGACCTGTAGAGCAACTGCAAAATCAGGAATTTTTTCAGTTTTTGGTCCATTTCAACCCCTAAATATTATGCGATCATCTCCAAAAGAAATAGGGTTCTATTCTGACCCTAGCCCCACCTCCATTCTAAATTTCGTGAAGATCGGACCATAATTGCGACCTGTAGAGTGAGTACAAATTAACATGGACAGACGGACAGACGGACAGACGGACGGACGGACATACATACTTACATAGCTAGATCGACTCAGCTCGGCGAGATAGGAAGATCCATATATACTTTCCTATGTGGAAAACCAATAGTTCGTGGTGTTACATAATTTTTGGCCCAATCAAACTTATAATACCCCCAACACATAGTGTTGTAGGGTATAAAAATATCATCAAAAAAAGTTTCTTAAAAAGCAGTTGGTCAATATTGGTATCTGATCAGACCGATTCGTATGACACCTAAGATAGATATAAATTTTACAACTTGCCAGATGTGGGCTTATCGACTACTTCCTGTACTCTATATGAGATATGTGTAAATTTTTGGAAAATGTGGAAATATGTGGAAATAGCGGACCGAAGTATTCAATTTTCATACTTCATCTAATACAGATAAAAATATTGGTGATTTGAAGGAAACCGAACATCTATATCCAATTTTATGCGAAATCATAAATTCCGAAAAATTACATACTCAGATCAGATTTCTGGTTAAGAGAAATATTTAGATACAGCAAGTTGTAAAGAATCTCCGAATTGTCTTGCAAGTTATGACACGTACAAGTATTGGAAATTGTGACCCTTTGTGGTTGAGGTTCCAGAAGGTGTTGGCAGATGTATATCATCTTCACAACAGATCTTGCGTTAGCAAAAATGTTTGTATGTGTGGAATTTGAAGAGGATTGGATGCTTATTTCGCTTCCTGTGAGCATTTTGTTTTTCAAAATCTTGAACCCTATGCGTGGGAGATACCAACAGAAATGGTGCGATCTCCACCATTTTTATAATATATCTTGTGTTGATGGAAATAATGTGCCAAGTTTGAATGTATGAATTTTGCGTTCTATAAGCTTCATGAATGTTCAAAAGGTTCGCCCTTTGTGGGGGAGGTACCAGAAGCAGTGGACCGATATATCCCTTCACACCAGATCTTGGGTTAATAAAAATATTGTGATATGTGTAACTTGAAAAGAATCAGATGCTTATTTCGGATTTTATTATCGTTTTGATTATTCAAACTTTTAACCCTTTTGTAGGGGTTCCAGAAGAAATGGTCCGATCTCTACCATCTTTATAACATATCTTGTGTTGATGGAATTATTGATATTTGCCTAGTCTGAATGGAATCGGATGTTAATTTCGCGTTTTATAAGCTTCATGAATATTCAAAATGTTCACCCTTTGTGGGAGAGGTACCAGAAGCAGTGGACCGATATATTTCGTCTTCATACCAGACCTTGGGTTGGTACAAATATTGTGATGTATGTAATTTGAAGAGAACCGGATGCTTATTTCGGATTTTATGATCCTTTAGGATCTTCAAAACTTTAACACTTTGTATGGGAGGTACCAGAAGGAATGATCCGATCTCTACTATCTTTTATGTTTATAGAAATATTGAGCTTTACTAAGTCTGAATGGGATCAGATGTTAATTTCCCGTTTTTTTAGCTTCATGGATATTCAAAATTTTGACCCTTTGTGGGGGAGGTACTAGAAGGATTGGACCGATATATCTCATCTTCACACCAGACCTTGGGTTAATAGAAATATTGTGATGTGTGTAATTTGAAGAATAATCGGACTCTTACCTCATATTTTATAAGAGTTATGATTATTCAAAATTTTGACCTTTTGTGGGGGAGGTACTTGATGGAGTGGAGCGATATTGTCCATTTTCGCACCTGATCTAGCACTAATGCAAATATTAGCATTTGCAAAGTTGGAGCAAAATCGAATTGCCCTTCCTTTCTGTGCAGTAAAATATTTTTTTTCGAACATTTCGAACTTTTGTGGGGAAGGTACAAAAAGGAGTGGACTGATATTGGCCATCTCCGAACTCGATCTAAGTTTCATTTTAATATTAGTTTGGATCAAATCGGATGGTTTCTTCGAGAGTTATCGTGAGCACAAGCCAGACGGACGGACATCGACTCCAAATTTCCTGAAACGGATTTTGTCCAAAGAGACCTAGGGTATAAAATTGTTATTTCTATGAGGCACGTTTTGGCTGTATCAAATGATACATACCCTTGGTAGCCATAGGGCTGAGGGTATAAAAATTCGTTCAAGATAAAATGGCGCACTATTTATCAGCAGCGTTCAAGCATAAACACAACCATGTTCGTTTAGCGGAAGAATACAACTAATTTTCTTTCAAGTCAGACAAGAACTAAATGCCACCTTTCACAAAATAAGCACTAGTTAAAAAAATAAATTTGGCAAAGGAATTTCTGGTACCAAATATCATTGTTGTGGAGTGCATATTTCGATTTTGAGGAACTTCTACACCAAATCGGTTGAAAAAAATATATGGGAGCTATAGCTATATCGGAACCGATATTCACCAACTTTTATGTACTTGCTCCTAGACTGTATTCGGTTGGATGTGCCAAAATTCAGATCATTTGAGCTTATATTAGCCATTTGGTGCACAATTAACTCGAAATCGGTTGAAGATATACATGGGAGCTATGTCTAAATCTTAACCGATCTAGATAAAATTTGGCAGAGATATTTCTGGGCTGAATGTGAAATTTGGTACCAAATATTATTCTGGTGGGGTGCATATTGCGAATGTGAGGGACTGAAAACCCCAAATCAGATGAAACATATGTATGGGAGCTATAACTACATCGGAACCGATATTCACCAAATTTTATGTACTTCAAGACTGATATGCATAAATCGATTCAGAAAGTGATTCTATGAAGAGCTTCAAAAGTATCTATGGGCCTATCTCGCTTCCTTCTTCATGTTACAAACAAATGTACAAATACATAATACCCTTACCACTATGTGGTGTAGGGTATAAACTAAAATGTTTAGCTTCGTGAATTTTAGGGGTTTTAATAAAGATACTGACCCAAACGCATAGGCTTAGTTCACTTTTTGGCATCCCCCTTAGAAACCTGTTGAGCAATGTAATGAATCAAAGAGTTTATTATTTTGTTTTGCCAGTCCCCATAAAGAAATTGTAAACCACTGTACAAAGCTAATGCGCTGTAAACTTAAAAGAGAAGCACTGTTAAAATAACATAAAAACTGTTCAATGTAAAAAACAAGAGGAAAAGGAAACACACAAAAGGTAAATCAAGCTTAATATACAGAAAAGAGTATCTTGTCTTTTCTGTGGAGTTTAATTGTGATAGAGAGAGAGAGTAAGACGTTCCAAAGAGATTACAACTCTCAATTGTCTTGTGTTTTTCATAATCAATTGATGTGTGATCGATAACAATGTCGAATGAGAGAACATTTGCCGGCCACCTCAATTACCACCGGTCAATTTGAGAAAGAGACCTGTAAGCAGAACATTAGCCGGCTAAAGCTTTAAAACCCCCTGGTTGCCTGTCACAAGGCAGACAGATCAGTTTTGCGGTTAAGATTTTTTTCCTATCCGCCTGTAATTCTTATGGCTGTTGGTGCTCTTGCTGCTGCTGCTGTTGCTGTTGTTGTCGTCGGTGGCGATGTTGCTTTGTCGATTGTCTCAACGACGATCGAAATAAGTTTTGTTTTTAGTCTCATCCGAGAAGCGCGTGTGTAAGGTACACAGTTGGTTGTATAGAAATGTAAGCGCGTGTTGTGCGGCAAAGAAAATCGAACAAGAAACGCACTCAGCAACAACAATAACAAGTGTTTTCGCTTGCAACAAAGTCTTCTGTCTTTTACTTCCCGTTTTGCGGAGGAGGTGTGAAATTTAAATTTTGAGTCTTGAGGCTATGGTTACACCAACCTGCCAATGTGGAACAAGGAGATACACCCATAAATCAACATGGGAATTGAATGAATTACACGAATGTTATTCGTGAACAAATAGAAATTAATTAAAAAACACTTTGGCGCAAAGTGGCAAAACGTTTTAAGTGGTCGAAATTTCACACCTCGTTGTTGTTGTTATTGTTGAGTTCCTTCGAGTGTGTGCGCGTGTGTGTTCTCTTCTCATGTAAATTAACCTTTAAAATAAATCAAACACAATTTTCACAAATAAAAACAAACAATCGCGAGTTGTGAGCAAGGCAATGAAAATGTTCACAAACATAGCCGAGTGAAACAGTGAAAAAAAAAAAACAAGAATAAATAACGAAAAAACAAGCAATAAATAATGTTAAATTAAAAGAAATTAAACAAAATAAATGAGTTTCTCAAAACAAGCTGCTATTCCATGCCCCCGCTCTCTTTGGCCAGCTGCTGACTGACATGCTGACTTCTAAGTGTGACCCAGTAGTCGGGGTGGCTGTGTACCCTGAATATTTTATTTTATTTTCACTTTTCAATGTCGAGCTTGAAATCTCGTGAACACCTTCCACTGCAGTAGCTGTGGCACTAAAATTGTATTCATCATTTTTAATTGATCGAGAATGTTGTACGCCACCCTGCCGCCCCTACGCTCTCGCCAAATATGACAGGGCATTGTAAGGCCCAACTTTCGTGACTTTATTTTAGCCGCCATAATTTTTGGTTGTTGTGTTTTTTTCTAGGTTTTTTGTTTTGTTAAACAATTTATGTAAATTTAGCTGACTGCCTGTGCTGGCGTCCGTCTATGACCTCATTCATTTAGCAATTTATGTTATTTTTTTCTTGTTGTTTGTGTAATTTTTTTGACGAGGTATAATTAGCTTGAAATTCAAGTAAAAACATCTTTCTGTGACATAACACACATCGATACATGTCTTGAACAGAACAAAACACCTAAATTAACGGTCGACAAGTGGACATTTCTTTCGAATGTAATTAGTGAAATATTTAAAAATATGTTCTAGCACTCGAAGCCGTGCTGTGAAGGTGTAACTGAAAAAAAAATGGAAGAACATTTGTAGAATTTAATTATAGACTTCAAAGTCTACAAAAATGTCCAGTTTTTTTAATGAATATGTGGTGAAAGAGAGAAATTTGGTATAAGTCGTGTAAAAATCGGCCATGACTGTAAACAGAAATTATATTTTTGTGGCCCCATGTTGTTTCAGGCAATTTTTAGGAGCCTATATCTAATTCCAAGGATTAATAACGAATGAAATATGTACAGTATATAATTGGCATGTTGTAAAAATTATTTCAATCGATTTGCTCTCGTAACAAGTTTAATAGTATCAATCGGTTTTGCCACATACCCCAGCCTTGAGTTATGACTATTCACAATGTTAACCTTTTATCGGAGACGGCTCCGAAGCAGTTGGTCATTATTGTCCAATTCGTATCTGACCTAAGTCTGGTATAAATATTACAACGTCTCATATTTGGATTATATAGTCTACTCCCATACTTTATATGAGATATGTTGAAATTTAGGAAGGATAGGGAAACATGCGAGAGGTACCAGATATATCGGACCAAAATATTCCACTTCATCTAATACAGATAAAAATATTGGTATATGCAAAATTTTAACAAAATCGAACATTTATATCCAATTTTATACGAAATCATTAATTTCGATAAATCACATATTCATATCAGATTTCTGGTTAAAGTGAGGTACCAGAAGAGATTGGCAGATATCTATCACCTTCACAACAGATTTTTCGTTTGAAAATATGTTTAGATGTGTGAAATTTGAAGAGAGTTTAATGCTTATTTCTCGTTTTATGAGGGTTTTGTTTTTCAAAATGTCGCACCCACTATGGTGGAAGTACCAGAAGGAGTAGACCGATATATTCCATCTTGACAGCAGATCTTGTGTTAGTGAAAATAATGGAATTTGTTTAATTGGAAGACAAAAGGACTCTTACATGGAATTTTATGAGTTATAATTATTAAAAAATTTGACCCTTTGCAGGGGAGGTACCAGAATGGTTGGACCGATGTATCCCATCTTTAGAGCATATTTTGTGTTAGTAGGATTAATGGGACGTGTGAAATATGAAGAGAACAGGATGCTTATTTAGCTTTTTAAGATATTTTGATTATTCAAAACTTCAACCCTTTGTGGGGGAGGTAGCAGAATAAATGGTCCGATTTCTACCATCTTAATAAAAAATCTTGTGTTGATAGAAATATTGAGATGTGCCAAATCTGAATGGAATCGGATGTTATTTTCGCGTTTTATGAGCTTCCTGGGCATTCAAAATGTTGACCCTTTGTGGTGGAGGTACCACAAGGAGTAGATCGATATATCCCATCTTGACAACAGATCTTGTGTTAGTAGAAATAATAAGATGTGTGAAACATGAAGAGAACCGGATGCCTATTTCGGTGTCTATGATCCTTTTGGTTATTCAAAACTTCAATCCTTTGTAAGGGAGGTAGCAGAATAAATGGTCCGATCTCAACCAACTTTATAACAGATCTTGTGTAGATGGAAATATTCTAAAGTGCCAGGTCTGAATGGAATCGGATGTTAATTTTGCGTTTTGTAAGCTTCATTGATATTTAAAATGTTGACCCTTTGTGGGGATGGTTCCAGACGGAGTAGACCTATATATCACATCTTCACAGCAGATCTTCTGTTAGTAGAAATAATGAGATGTGTAAAATATTAAGAGAAACGGATGCTTATTTCGGTTTCTATGATCCTTTTGGTTATTCAAAACTTCAACCCTTTGTGGGGAAGTTACCAAAACAAATGGTCCGATCTCTACCATTTTTATAACACATCTTGTGTTGATGGAAATATTGAGATGTACCAAGTCTAAATGGAATCGGATGTTAATGTCGCGTTTTATAAGGTTCATGGGCATTCAAAAATTTACCCCATTGTGGTGGAGGTACCAGAAGGAGTAGACCGATACATTCCATCTCGACACCAGACTTTGGGTTAATAAAAAATATTGTGATGTGTATAGTTTTGAAGATAATCGGACTCTTACATCACATTTTATAGAAGTTACAATTATTATAAATTTTGACTCTTTGTGGGGGAGGTACTTGATGGTGTAGGCCGATATTGTCTAATTTCGCACCTGACCTAGCAATGATGCAAATACTAGGATTTGCAAAGTTGGAGCAAAATTGGATTATCTTTCCTTCTGCTGTCGACTCCAAATGACCCGAAACGAATTTGGTCCAAAGAGACCTATGGTCTAAAACCATTATTTCGAAGACACAGTTTGGGAGTATCGAATGATATATACCCTATTTAGCCATATAACGGAGGGTATAATTAATGAACCCCATTTTCAATATAATTTTGAGAAGCAAGCAAAAAGAAAAGCCAGTAAGGAAAGGCTATTATTAATACCAAAACTAGAAAAAAAGTTAAGGTAAATAAGATAAGCTCGGCCAGGCTGAACCTTTAATTCCCTCTACCATTTCAAAAGTTAAACTTTTGAAATAAACGCTGAGATCTAGTATTCCAGTGGCATGTATTTTTTCTATAACTAGAAATTTTCAACACCAAATTTCAAAAAAAATCCGCTGAAAAATAGGGTTAAAATTATTATAAAACCCAATATAGAAAGGCATTGTTACATGAGGGGTACACGAAGACATAAGCTAGTATTGGCAAATGATTTTTATGGGCGGTGGTATCTATTACGAACTTCAAATACTAAATTTCAAACAATTCCGTGAAAATAAATATTATGCAAATCATCAAAATGTCGAGTATTGGGAAGTACCGGCTGTGTGAGAATGTCGATCTGTGTAGATGATTGTCTTTTGGAGAAGATGGCATCTATTGCAAACCAAAATACCAACTTTTAAATAATTTAGTTGAAAAATGTCGCTATAATCATCAAAATACCAAAACAAGTAATCAAAGGTTATAGCCGTGTGGCGCCGACCACACTACAATATGTAAGAAGCCCCCTTATGGTCAAATCCATTTTTGAAGATTCCGAATGTGAAATTATATTGTGGCTGGTTGTGGTCCATTTTACAGCTAAATATAATCCAATGGTTATCCAAAATGGTAGACTTATTCCCAGTCCTTAACTCTCTTCTCAGGCGTGTCGATTGGCTTTAATTGTGTGATCAAGAAATTCATTGGGTCAATTAAAAATTCTAAATATTTTGCGATCATATCCAAATTTAGACTCATCTTTACGATGTACTTGTCTACGATATATGGTTATATTCGTCAACGAATTCAGTTTAAAAAACCCAAAAGTTCGCCATTTGTGTATTCCGGATATCGCCTGTAAGTAAAATTGGTATTATTTTCACACAAAAGTAGTGGTCCATTCTACCCGCTGTCCTAAACTCTAACTTCAAGCGAGATTCCGTGTTCTTTGGTTTCTATTTGTGACATTATAACGGATGTAAAATCAGGGACTTTTTCAGTTTTTGGTCAATTTCAAGCCCTAAATATATTGCGGCCTAGCCCTTCTGAATCTAACCCTACCCTTGTAGAAATTTTAGTGCGGATCGGACGATAATTGCAATCTCTATATAATAATCCCAACCTGTGTTGTAAGGTGAAAAAATACTACAAAATATACACTTCAATTTTTTAAGTCAAATTGAAAAAGTTGCCTGCGATAAAAAATATGAAAAAACAAGTAAGCAAAAGCTATAGTCGTGCGGGGCCGACTATGTGATACCCTACAACACTACAATATGTTAAAAGCCTCCTTATGTCTAAATCCATTTTGGAAGATTTCGCCTTTGAAATTATGTCACGGATAAATTTAAT